CACTGAAGGCTGAAACACTGACGAGATCTTTAAATTTAATTCTCTCTTTTCCATTTAAGAAATCTACATGTGTGAGTTTGAGGAAAGCAACAAAATATTCTCAATCAACTTTAAAAAAAAAGATAAAATATAAATAGTCTGCCAACATATTTTCCATTCTAACCCAGCTACAACAAATGGATTAATTGTTGTCTAATTTAATCAAATGGCTTGCTGATAAAATTTGAGCAAAGACTTGATGTGTGTCCAGCACCTGAAAAATTGGTATGGGTTTTTCAAATATGAGAAGTCTGTCCAGATGGCCCTAGAATGAAGTATAGTATTCAAAATGTTGTTCCCAGAGAATTGGCCAGCTGTATCTAACATGAAAATGCTTCTCTGAATTTTTTAAAAAAGCATTAAGTATAATGGAGAATACTGGAGAGAGCATTTAAATGTAATCCATTCACAATTTAGAGTAATTGACTCATTTGGCAGGAGTCATCTGAAATTAGGCTTTAATGGGCACAACTGTTCACACATCAATCTCAGACAAACTATGACTAGAACTAAGATGCTAACTTTTTGGAAATTGCCACTCAGTTTGTTCTTGTAGCTACCACCTTTCTTGACATTATTTTGAAATTTTCCACTGACAACAAAATACCTTTCTAAAGGAGTCCAATTCTTATTATTCTACTGAGAAACATCTGAGGGTACCTTAAATCCATTTAAACATACATAAATATAATTAGGGCTCAACAGTTGAGAGCAGAAACACAAACACCTATATTTGTATCAAGAAGATATTTTTGGATGAGCATTTTGTAAAAGGCTTGAACGAGGGCTGGAAAATATGGACAAGTCTTACACATTAGAGGCAGAGTCACTTTCTGTATCCCTAAGAAGCTTTTATGTTTCACATTACCATCTTCCTGGAGTTCACCCATACCCTTCATAGCAGAATTTTGTACTACCATCTGACAAAGCTGTACTCAGCCCAAGATTATGATCTTTCCCATCTGCCAAGGGATGAAAGTGTAGCCAGAGAGAGAGAATTGAATCCTTGAACTTCCCAGCAGAGCAAAGAAGCAAATTTAGCAGGGCCCTAAAGAGGACCCATTAAGCCTTCGTCACATATCCATCAAAAAGATGATCATAATCTGCACTTTACATGCTGGAATGGTACTAAAGAATAAACAAATAAAACTATTTCCATTAAGACAGACAGAATTCACCAAGAGGGGAAGAAAGAATGTCATTTAGTGGATGTATCTACATTTAGAAGAGGAAAAAAATTCTTGAGATGTACTAATATAGTCATATGCAATATCAAAATAGGCTTCTATTGTTATTTCTTACAATACAGGACTCATTCTATCATAAATGAAAGCTGTATGAAAGTTTTCTTTGCTTTAAGTGTTCATACAGTGTTTAGACTTCTTTCCTTCTTGCAATCTTCAAAGGTAGATCAGGTCGCTAGTAATTGATTTTAAAATACTTGTTCAATTTGATGTGTAGAAACAAACTGAAGACAGATATCAAGGATATCAAGAGCTTCTTATATATAGGAACATATTTAAAAAAACAAGCTGTAAAATCTAACAGAAAACCCCACAATAATCTACAACTGTGATCCCATTTAATTTACCTTAAATTACCTTTACATATTGATTTTAGCAGGCAAGATAGGTACTAACCTAATTCATTTGCATACATAGCACACAAATACACCATCCAAACCCCAAATTTTTAGGATATGCGTAATGTAGATTAAATCAGATGCAACAAAATCAGTTATGTTTATGCTTTCCTTCACTTGTATTGCTTCATGACGCACTTGTTTTAAACAAAATGTAAAAAGTAATGGGGTTTTTACTGTGAGATGGTGCATGGGACAAATATACTAGACAGTACTAATTGCAGGAAACACTGAAACACCAGGAAAACATTAGAGAATATATGAGTGAAGGTGGCTGTTAAGGAAAGCAGTCTTCTTCAGGTAGGTGTTTCCTAATAGGAGATTAGATTTAGTAATCCTTATGGTCTATCGCTTTAGAAGAAACAATGTTTTGCTCTGTATGGCAGCGAGAATGGTAGTGATATTAAAACGTCGGGAGGGAAGGAAAATGGGAAGGAAGGAGTAACCCAATATTCTCCAAAATCCTGGAAGTTTTTCAGGATGTTCACAAGTGGACTGCAAAGTGAGAAAATGAAAATATTAAAATAATTTAAAGCTTAATTATTTCAGTGGTTTTCTTTGGAGTAATAAGTAAAAGAATTCTGCTTCTCTACCCCTTTCCCATCTCATGTAGATGCAGAAATCCTCCATAAGGTATACAGTAGCATATCTGTAAATTGTCTTCAAATAAGTCTGAAACATTAATAACAGAGAAGGTACAATGTTTTTTAATCTCATAACAGTTACTTTTATGTGTTAAGTGTGTGATAGCCTGGGGTTAATGATGAAGGGCCATATTGGCAAGTGTTGAAGGGAAGTTTGGAAGCAACAAAATAAGAGGAGTAGAGGAACAGGTTTTGGCTTCTCCCTAGCACTTGTCAAAATTTTCCAAAGAAAACATGGAAACATCTTTACTGTGTTCTTAATAAAAAATAAGAGTGGGAAAAACAAACAAACAAACAAATAAAACAAAACAACCAACCAACCAACAAACAAACGAACAAAAAAAGGCAATCTTTAACATTTGTGTGTATATGAGGTTTCAAAACTGTGCTCTCTACAGTGGCTTTGTTCCTGCCAGCCAACAAAATTAATTAGGCAGCCAGAGCAAATTCAGATAACTGCATGATTTTAAATAAATCCTTTGATAAAGTTAGTAGCTATTTTTTTACTAATAAAGTGTTCTAAAGGTTTAAAAAATTCAATGGATTCCTGAAAAATAAGTGTGGAAAATTTGGAGACCAAATCAATTAATAAGCTGGGAGTTAAAGGGATTTTAGTCCTGCCTTAAATGAAAAGTCTTAGTGCACCTTGAGATGCACAGTTTCTGTGAAAGGTCTCAGCAATATTGATCTTCAGTGCACATATTACCCCACATGAATGTCACTGACATACTGTAAAGAACAGTCATCTGCTGATAGTATGAAAAATTCTTAATGTAGAGAAGGAGTGGTTTTAATGAAGTTACAATGATTCTAAAAAAATAGTTGCTACAAATATGACTACCAAATATTCTTATTATGACCTTGCTTTAGAAAATTCAAAAGAGGCACCCATACTGCCTTGATTCTTGAACAGCAAATCTGTGAATGTCTCAATAAATTCAAAATTAATATGAAGGCACTTCCAGCATGATACTTCTGCATTGATATGCTAACTGTGATCTGAAAGAGGTGTATCTACAAAGGCAGTGCAGAAAATTGAGAAATAACTGTCCTATTTATATGAATATGGTGCATACTTATGAGTATGCTTATGATGTCTTGTTTCCTTAAGAAGGCAAATGAAAAGATGCTCTAAAGGAAACATCAGAAGTGGCAAAACAATGAAAAAGTCACTGAGAAGATAAAGAGGAAGGTAGCCTTTGTGAAATATCTTATTTTGCCCTCTCAAAGTCAAGCTGCAAGGACAGAGACAGGTACTCACTCCAGAGGATCTGAAACATAAAAAGGAGAAACACATTTTTCCCAGCTAACTTTGTACACTCAGCTGAAGCGCCTAAGTAATACTATTTTTTCTTATTAGGGGGCACACACATCTTCAAAAAGCAGTTTCACCTGTCCAAGATCTGCACTGTCCTCTACAGATGTCTATCTATCATATTACAAAAGGAATAAAGGATGCCTGCACTCTCTCTAGTCTGCTCCAGCTCTATGCTATGAAACTTGGGAAGAGATAGGATGGCAAAGGCAAAGACCTAGATGCAAAAGAAGCCGAAACTGCTGAAGAGCAATTAACTTCTCATGCCTCCAGAAATTGTGGCAACTACTCCCTGAAAAGGTATACAAACATGAAAAGAAGGCTATGATCACACAGAACCATCAGAAATACAGATGCAGACCTCATTTTTTCGCCATCCAGTTTGCAATGTCTTTAGATGAAAGTTTGTCTTGATGAAAAAAACTTGAAAGGAGAGAGCTTATTAAAGTAAATGTGAATCAGGCCCATCACGCCAATGCAACTGTGAAACAAGGGTCTATGGTTCTACCCAAAAGGAAGGGCAGAAAGCCAAAAGTGCCATCAAGGGACAAGAAGTTATCTACCCTATAAACAAGGCAGACAGCAATTCCAAAATATTTCTGTAGAGCTTATTGCCATTGACAAATGCATCTGCACTTGAGTGCGAAGTGCTGAGCTAGTACAAAGCAGTGTAGCTTTGCTGCTTGTAAATGAGCTGTATCATCTTACACAGCTGACTGTCTGGATGTCCTAACAATTACACTTATTACGGAATGTAAATGTTCTAGCTATAAGTTGCAGCAACTTTCCCCTTAGCTTCTGATCCTCTTTCCTTTATGTTCGTTAGAGCCCATGCTCTAAATTAAACATTAACAGGTATTAAATTAACTCATGAATAGAGTTCAAAGAGAAAAGAGGCTTATGCACACCAGGAAAAGGATGCATAAAATAGCATAAATATCTGCAATTGTCAGTGAATTTGGTAGGAAGCAATAGATGTTCTTATGGGCTGCTGACCTGTTAAAAGTGCTTCTTCCTGTTACAAGAAATCCTCAGAAGGAGTCAAATTGTATTTTATCACTGTGTTGAATTCTCACAACGTATTCCTTAGGTTGCGTGCAGAAGTGCTTCATTTTAGATACTGTCTCTTAAGATCTATCTCTTTCAATTACCAATGCAGACTACAAAGCATTTTAGCAATGCCATATGTCAACTTAGCTTGCTAAGATATCCTAATTGGCTCTTTTTTAACTTCAGCAATGGCAGGAAAAGGAAGATGTGCTTAGCAGTCATAAGTGTTTATGCCTTAGCATTACTAAAGTGTCTAGTCAGTTCTTACATTGAATGCAGATGTAGAGGGTTTGATATTGACATATAATACCTGTTTTTAATATGCTGGGGAGAACCAAGACACTTAAAACTTCCATTGACCATAATAGCAAGCCGTGTGCAGAGAGCTTCACATTCTTCCATACTACAAAATGAAGTGAAAAAAGAAAATTAAATAAATAATAGTGAAAACAGAGAACATTATTTATATCTAACTTTAGTTAAAGTGGAAGGGATCTGGACAGCTGCAAAAACAACTACACAAAACCTTTGACTTTAAAGGGCAACAATCAAAGCTGTAACCCTAGTCAGTACATACCAGAAGTTATACCACATGACAGCTAGAAGAGATCCCTAATCCACCATTTATGTTTTTAGTCCATAACTAATTAGACAGTTCTGGCAACAACACAAAGGCATCAGTACTGTACACAAATGCCTGATAAGCAGTCTCAAAAATGCCATGAGTGTGAGAGCTATGAATGCTGTTATTCCCTGTGATACCTGTCTGTGGTTATTCTAAGCTAAAGGATAGAAGAAGTAAGCTTCCACAGATTGCCTTTTGCGCAGTACATACCCTTGAAAAGGAGTTACCCTTAGTCTGATTACAGGGTAGAAGAAGATCCAAAACACTACTATCCAAACAGAATTTAGGACATGGAAATGCAGTTGAATAGAAAAACAGGATCCTCCTCTAGATGTGACTGCTTTGGATGATAATAACTTTGACTTGTAAATCTAAGGGCAGATGGTCTGCCACTCTACATATTATACAGAATTGTGTGAGCAGCTCTTCCAAAGCAGCACATCAGGGCATTGGCTGGGTCATACTCATCATTCCAAAGAGGAGTGAAAGATTGTTGACGTACTTGAAATTCATCATGTGTCCGACCCAACCCTTCTGAGACTGCTAAGCAAGAGATGTCTTGTGTGCCTCAGCCACGGTCCAGTCCAAATCAAAGTGCTTTGACTGAACAAGCACTGGCAATTAAGTAATCCCCAGAAACAATTCCCTTAAAATAGCACAGGGCTGTGGTGAGAACTACCAAACTGCTATATTTGAGAGACATGGGGAGAGGGCTTGCTAACACATCTTCCAACAAATCAGGAAATTCACTGATTAATTTCTAATGCTCCCCTTGGCATAACACTCCCTATCTGTGGTAAAATGGCATAAAAATAGGGCTGTAGGGACTGTTGATATAACCTCACTCCTCCCCCATTGAAACAAAAGTTTTGTCTCTGAAATTTTAGTAAAAAATTCTCTCTGAAAAGTAAATAGTCCTCAAAAACTAATTTTTACACAGGAAACCGTGTCTATACCTTACAGATATGTTTTCTGATATGCATGAAGGTTCACTTCATAAGAAAAATTTCTGTACTTATACAAGTAAATAATCTCAAATAAATCTCCAATGGCCTTCAGCAAATAGTATTAGTATAGAATAATTTCTCTTTCTTCCACCCTGGGACAACAGTGTGTACACTGTCATTGTACTTATATCCTCCTCAAGTCATTCATTTGTAGAGATATATGTGTAGTTAGTAACAATTTGATAGATTTTGCTTGTTTATTTACAGCATATTAGTAATGAGACCACAAGTCTCTTCAGTTTAGCTGGTGTTTGCAAATACAGATTCCTAATCTGGGTTGAAAAATCAAAGCACACTCTTTCTTGAAAACCACTCAAGTGAATTCACAACGCATAACTCATATTCCCTAAATGAGTGAGCTGGTAAGCACTTGGGTATCAAATACAACTATGTGATTTTCAAAATTCACCTTCCATAAATAATATACTACAATCTTTTTGGAGCACTTTCCCATCAATAATGTACTGGGACAACAGATACATTTTAAGAACATCTGAAAAAATTTGAAAATATAAAATATTGAGGCACGTTTTCCTGCATTCCTTTATTAATTCATCTATGCTTCAAATCTCATTTGAACAAAATGTTACATTGCTGTTTTGATTTGTAAGCTCTGTCCTGTTTGCAAATGTTTTCATGATCTCTCCCTCATTTAAAGACATTTTATATATAGTTATACATACTATATATATTCCCAAAGGGAACATCAATTTATTGCATTTTACTACAGATGTTACAAAACAGTATTGATGTTTCCTCTGTTAAACCAGACCATATCAGAGAACTGACAGGATATTTAATGTAGACGGACTCGTCTAAGAGGATGGGATCACTCCTGCCATTTCCAGAGTGCATAGAGAGAGTAGAGCAAGAGAGGAGCTGACGCATCCCTCTTTAGGATACCATGGCATACTCTTTTCATACAGTGATGCAAAACAGAAACTTAATAAAATCATAAGGTTTTTCACTCTCACCTCCCTTTGTAAGGACTTTTAAGGTGGGCAGCTGCAAAAAAATAACCTAATGTTCCAAGCAAGAAAAGACACAACAGCACTGAATAGAAAGAGCATAGAAAAGGAAGGATTAATTGCATCATTTTTCTGTGCCTGCAGCCCCTTAACCCACATTCTCTTCCTTAAAAATCAAATATAGAAAATATTTGGGATTTACACAGGCTCAGCTTTCACAGGCAGGAAGGAATTGCCAGAAAATTCCAAGACATATTCTGTATTTCACACGAGGGTGAGCATATCTTCAGAATATGAAGAATATCCTCGGTTAACAGTGGGTGAGGAGACAGAACAAGAATATGCTGGCAGCTGAGGTAAGGGTTTTACCTGTGAGATGTCAGCACAGCTGCACAGCCATCCTGAACTTCCTTCAGGATGGTTTTCCAAAGGTGGCGTTTAGAGCAGGGATCCATCCCAGAGCTGGGCTCATCCTATGGGAAAGATGAAAGTGACAACACAGCAGCATGGGAAAAACATACAGTGGGTCCTGCACAGCATGAAGAATTAACAGAACTCATAATAAAATCATATATTTTTCTCTTCAAATGTTACATTTTCTCTTCAAATGTTACAGTTTAATTTCTGCATTTATGGAAGGCACTTTTAAATAAAGAAGTAGATATATAAATGTTTTTTATATATATTACATATTAAAGATACATTTATAAATTATTTATAAATATATATATGTTTAGTAATCTATATACATGTACTCTTTTTGACAGGAGACACTTGCAGGTGTTTTTTTCTCACTTTCTTGGAGGGTTTGGTGACTGTTTCTCTGCTACATGCACATCTCCCATGATTGCAAACAAGTGGAGAAATCCTGTAGCTCCTAGCTGGCTGCACTGTCCATCCCATATCCAGGTGTTGCTAGTATGTTTGGATTTGGCATTCCCCACCAGTTGATCCCACAGTCCCTTTGAGAGGAATTCTCACCCACGGTGGAGAGAATTCATAGGATTAAGGAACATTAACTCAGTGCAAACTGTCTATCAAACCCATTTCCCTCTTGGATGGCTTTCATGGAGAAAGTGAAGCTAGAAAAACTATATTTCCCCTTCCTATCTAATCCTTTTTTCCTCACTAAATCAAATTTTTACCTCATTCACCCATAGCAGCAAAAGGAATGATATCTGCTTGTCAAATCAGATATCTCTGTCACAACAAAACTAGGGAGAAATAAATTCTTACAGTTGATCTTAAACCTATGGAATTCCATGAGGGGTGTCAGCACCTATTAGGGTGGTATGGCCTTGGCCAATGTATTTGTCGCAAGGATTTCAAGCTGAAACCTGGAAACAAAGTTTTCAAGGAACAAAGCAAACAAAACATGCAGTTTGATGCTGATTTTGGTGCTTGGCTACCAGTGGCAGAGGTGAAAAAATTCAGTTTAGTCTCCCATTGTCTGTGGGTTGCTAACAAAGAAAATGTAAAAAGCAATAAACATAAAGCAACCCACACTTTTACTCAAATTAATAGCCATGATCCTGGAAGCAATCTAGAAGCAGATTCAGTAGTTTATAGTGGTGTTTATAGTGCTTTCAGACAAAATAAAAATAAAAAATCTTTTTAAAATACTGAATACCTCCTTAAAAATCTATGAGCTTTCTAAAGCCATCCCAATGTTTTAAAGCATTTGACATGTTTAGATATTTTTCTTTCCTCTTGTTCTTCTATATGCAATAGTCTGTGCCCTGCAGCAAGAAGGAGGCTGAAATGTATACTTGCAGTAGTATACTGTCATAAAGACACACAAAAACAGTTGGAGCATTTTCTAAGATCAGGAAAAGCACTGATTTAAGATTATATCCTCCTTTTACTAACTGAACCAAGGTCAGTTTAAGCATAAAATGTAAATAAAATAATTCAGCTTAGAAGTGAGGCAATGATAGTCAGCTAGTAGCAGCAAAATGTGTCTGATCTTCTGAAACACGAACTCCAAGAGATCAGTTTTGTCTGGTTCGACTTAGCCTATGATCTGTTACTGGAAGCACTGGTTTCTCTCTCAACTCTGAGGAGCAGCTTTTCTTGCCCTGACTGTTTTGAAAGGTTTATTCCACTGTTGAATTGGTTTAGCTCTTCTCAGCCAAGGCTTAAGAAAGGGATGTTCAATATTCTCTAGTGAAACAATAGGCAATGATAAGAAGGAGTATGTGGTAGCATAATGATGCAGTTCTCTGCAGATCTATTGTAGATTCCTGATCTTCAATACAAAAGGCATTATTTAAACTGGAGGGGCCAGTTTCAGGCCTAAATGAGCAGTACTATGCAAGCACCAAAACAACATGTGGTAAATAATTCAAATTAATATAATTCAGGAGTATTAGTTTGATTGTGTGACTTCTGAATCCAAAAAAATGTAAGAACTAGCCAGATTTATGAAAGATGACCTAGCAAGAAATAGGAATATTCTGAAAAAGATGAGTTGATAATTTATTATACTAGTTCCAAATTACTAATTAAAATAAGAGTCTTCCTCCTTTAAGAGGCCAATAGATTTGCTCATATGTATTTTTCTCATGTTATGTACAAAATAGAGAATACATAAACCATTAATATATTTTACATTACATTATTTTTTCTCCTTCTACCTGGGTAAATCTTAAAAAAATTGAATATGTGTCTGGGCCATGGGATGCTACAATTTATTTATGTTTAGGGCTTTTTTCTCCCTGCTCATCCAATTAAGCCAAGGAAAAAACAAAACAAAACAATTTCAGTTTCAATTTTTGTGAGCACTAGAGAATAAAATTAAAGGTATTCATAGAATAGAACAAAGAGTACAGTTGTACCTCCATGTATCAATTACTCCCTGACTGATCAGGAAACTACCTGATTTTCTTTAAAGCAACATACAAGAGAACAAAATTCAATGTAACCCATTCATCATAGGCACAGTGTTACCTTTACTCACCAGTAAAAGTATTTGGGGTTTACCAACTAAAGCCACAGCAGTAGAGAGCTTCCTCTTTGTGCCAGCACTGTATGTTCTCACCAGTTTGTCTGCATGGGCATTGAGGTGTAACCGGTTAACAAGGTCCTCTGCAACCTGTGGTTCAGAAATTTGAAGGCCAACGAAGATGAGTCAGATCAGGTAGCATTTGTGCTTAGACTAAAACAATATTCTGTTCATAAATATAAAGCAAATGTACATGTTGTTTCCTTATTAATCCCCACTTGCTGCATATTATTATTTTGAATCTTAAACACATACAAAAAGCTTCTCTGGGACCCCTTAGTTCTCCAAAAAGGATAAGGATTTTCTCATACAGAAAATCTGGCTTTGTCATTTCTTGGAACAGTCATTTGCATTCAGTTTGTGTCAATAGGTCAATGATCTAAAATTTCTCTCATTTCACTCATTCTCCAGTATTTATTTGATCAAACATCTTAAAGACTGAAAATTCAAGAGACAAAATTCTCCATTGGCCACAGAAAAAGATGAAAATGTCAGAAAAGCAAGGCACAGATGAAGGATTTACAGATTCTTAGACACAAAAGGTAACAGGGTTAAATTAACATATCCTTGTAATAACTGAGAGGGGTAAGTTGACCCTAGCTGGTTTGGGTTTAATTGCTTAAAGAATGTGTGATTTGAGGAAGCAGACGAGCACATCTGGAGACAACGTTCATGCCATCCCCTACAGCCTTTCTTCTTTGCCTGTCAGACACAGTTCTAACATACAAGGGTCCCTCAAATAGTGGTGCTAGAGAATTTTAAATGTAGCAATAGCCTTAGTCCATCTATATCAGCTATCACTGCTGGACCATCCAGGGAGACCTGCAAAAACATGAGGATCACAGCAGCAACTTTTCTACTCCTTAGTGCCAAATCCCTCCTGCAAAGAAAGCAGCAAGTGTTTAGTGGCATGTGTCTGGGGGCTGTATCATCAAGAGGTGATCAACTTTGTAACAGAGCAGGTATGTCTTCAACCTGTATGTATGGACAGCTGGGAGATTCTTGTAAAACAAATAGTTACGTGGTGCTCTATTGCCCGAAATCAGCTGCCACAGCACCCCAGTGGTTCATTCCCTTTGCACCCTCTGCATTGCCTTCAGCAGAAAGCAAGGAAGGACTGCAAGGATTAGTCACATCAGATGGACAGTCTCCAATTACTTCAGAAAATCCAATAGAAAAAAACAATTCAATAAACAATATTGTGAATTAATATTCACTATTCACCACAAACAAATTGCCATGAGCATAATAATATTTTTATTAGACAGTTTTATGCAAACTCCTTTGGCATTTGTGACCATTTTAGCAAGATTTCTGAAGTGCTAGTTATAAAAATAAGACACTTCTGAGAGAAAGTTCTCTCTACGCAGGAACAACAGTGCAGTGGCAAGAATCTGCAGTGTTCTAGTGATGATCCTCACACTGGTATTTATAGTCACTTGTGTTTGGTGTACCTGAATGTGGAACCCGATGGCAATGCATGTTCTCATATAAAAGCTACATTTCATAAATATTGCTCTGACTACATTAAATGAAGAAAATTTAAAAAAACACCATCTTAACAACTGTTAAACAACCCACAGGTAATTTTATACTGAAAAGTTCAAGTCTTCTGCTATTTTAGGGTTAGTTCACCGTGACGTATTTCCAGTTACAGTCTATTTTTGTATATCAGTAGAAGTGCTGCAAATTCAGATATTCTGTGGCTTTATAAATGCTCAGTCACCTAAACTATATTCTAAGATATAACAGTTGAGCTTTGTTTTGTTTTGTGCGTTTTTTTCACTTCCAAATACACATCTCCTTATACACCAAAACAACCCATAAAGTGATGTCCTCTAAAGTATATGGGAGACAGCTTATCCTTTCCACTAAACTGACTTTGCTATCACTGGGAATGCATGAATGCTACTGACAGAAGGATTATCCTCCTACACATACACCAACAATCACAGAATTATACAGAAGAGCTTATAAAAAATTAGGATCAGAAAGTGAAAAGAATATGTCATTTCATGTTTACACCAAAATTAATATTTAGTTAACCTATTATTAGTAAACAATAAGCAAAAGAGGCCTATGTGTCACAGTTGAAATGTAGTAAAAACTACCCTTTAGATATGACCAGAACCACTATTTCTAAGACTGCTCTGAAATATTATCAAAACTCTAAGTCAAACAAAATGCCATTCTTTTAAAGCAACAATGAATGCCTCAGGGGGAAGAATTTAGAAGGTCAAGGAATAGTGCCAGAGAGAGAAGAAAAAAACATTCAAGTTAGATGGCTCTTATTGTAGTCTGTAGCCCCCAAGGAGACTCAATCATGTGTCAGGCATGAACATAATGCTCCTTATAGGGAGCCACATTAAAAAGAACTGACTTTGCAAGATTTACAATTCGACACATAGAATCCTCACCTCTCTGGTATGTACTCAAGCATTTAGTGCAGAAACACATGACTACACCATCTCCTGTTTAGTACAAGGAGAGAAAGACTAGCAAGTCTTCTGCTACAGGAATTTTTCAAGACAAGGTCTCCTTAAGGTAAAAAGAAAGGGGTGGGAATCATTTCATAGTACCCACGTTGCTGCTGCTTTAAATGTGTAGAGCTTACAAGATGAACCTTGCAGATTATCACAGTGCACACCACAATGTGGCTTGATATCTAGATATGCATTTTTGGTGCAAAACATATCAAATTAAAACAGATTTGGGGCTGAATCACAACAGCAACCTAAAGTCAGAAGGAATGGTCAGCTTCCTGATTCCTAATTTTTTCCCTGCTGTTTCTCTCTTATTCCTGCTACGCTCTTCAAAGGAGCATTGTAGAGTATGCTTCAGCAAATATTAGAATATAGAGTTCATTCTTCTTTCAAGAGATGACCTCAAAACTTTTTCTCTTTTCTTTAATACATATCATAAGATTTTCAGTAATGTCTCAGCTTCATCAATATGATCTAAACAACAAAGAAACACTGATTTGAATGAAATTAGAAATATTACATATTAGGTATATTGTAGAGGAGCCTGCACATCTCCATTTTTCTGTATAACCAGTTGTTTGTATCATAGTATCTTGTAAAATAAATACAAAAATACCTCTTAAACTATTTTAAATGAAAGTCAGAATTGAACATGTGACCAATCTTCAGATACAGATGCACACAATTATGCCAGAGATTTACAATTCTAATGGTTTCCTTCCTTTAGTGACTGTGAGATATATACACAAGCACTTTCTATCCCTCCTTGTCATATTCATCATGGTGTTCTATTTATGGTTTCAATTACTTTCAGCAGTGAAGAATGAGGAGATACATCAATTTATTTAGCAAGTTGGTAACATTGAGGCCAAATTAAAAGACACAGAGTTATATGCAAATATATGCATTGTGAGCGCATTTGAACCATAAAGATATTTCACATCTAGTCATGGTTGTAGTAATGTATTTAAAGTCTTTCCTCCCTTCCTCCCTCCACCCTCAATGAAGACTATAACAGACTTTATATCTTTCAGCTAACTATTCCTATTTTACAATATTCCTTAAAATTATTTATTTTTCTCCCATCGATTATAAAATCTTTAACAAAAGGTTTTTCCAAAATTAGTTTGGGTTAGTTCACCTAGCTTTGGTATAGTCAATCTATAACATCTGAACAAAACCCTCGAATACATTGTGGAGTTCCTAAAGACTACATTCATTTCAGAAGAAGCTGTAAGGTAACTTGACTTTTTGCACACATGCTAGTATCTGTGGGAGTAAAGGTTAAAGTAGGCATGGTGCCTTCTGTCCAGTAGGGAACTAAGAGGTATGTCCATTCCACTGAAAAGCAGTAAGTGATGAAAATTATGTAACCACTAATGCTAATGGGAATGCATGCGTGTGGCGGCACGGCCCCAACCAGCCCTGGAACGCGGGTGCGTGGTACAGTCCTGGCCGGCCCCGGGCGCGTGGCACGGCCCCGCCCTGGGCACTTGGGCCCAGCCCCGGGCACGGAAAGGAGCAAGAGAGGGGGAGCTTCGCCGGCGCAGACTGTGCCCTCGTGGGAGATGAGAGGGGGAGCCCTGGAGCACACAGAGGAGATGGACAACTCTAAACCCGGGCAAATGGAGCTCGATTAGCCCTGTAAGGCCATCCATCTAAGAGAAGGTCACTCTAATTAAACCTACGTCCTGAGGACCTCACTGCCACCGTCCAAGCTCTCTCGGCCCCAGCAGATGAACTTTAGGATTAAAGGGTGGGTTCAGTTCCACCCATACTGCGTCTCACCTAAAAAATCCATTGCGCAGGCTCGAAGGCCTTACTCACATTTGCAAAGCCCTGCAGCGACATCTACAAATGCAGTCACACAAAGATCGAAAGACAAAGGCATATACACCTGCCTCCAAAGGTGTACCCAAATTAACTCTAGCATGCTGGAACATCAGAACCACGCTTGATTCAGGGGATAGCAGACGTCCTGAGCATCGTTCTGCCCTAATTGCCCATGAACTGTCATGTCTCAACATCAACATTGCTTCTCTCAGTGAAGTTCGCCTTCACGAGGAAGGCAGCCTCAGAGAACATGGTGCCGGTTACACACTCCTTTGGTCAGGTAAGCCCAGAACCGAAAAGCATCTCTCAGGAGTCAGCCTCATGATCAAAAACTCTATTGTTCTTAAACTTGAAAATCTGCCGACAGGTCATTCCAACCACATTATCTCCCTACGCCTTCCACTACACAACAAGCAACACGTTGTCCTCTTTAGTATATATGCCCCAACTCTCCAAGCTGACCCTGCTGAAAAAGATAAATTTTACACCAACCTGCACCGCCTTACCCAGAAGGTTCCTGCAGATGATAAGATCATTATCCTTGGTGATTTCAACGCCAGAGTAGGAAAGAATTTTGAAGCCTGGAAAGGAATATTAGCAAGCATGGTTTTGGAAGCTGCAACAATAATGGTCGACTTCTGCTAGAATTCTGGGTGGAGCAACAGCTCACCATCACTAACACTATCTTTCAGCAGAAAAATAGTCTGAAGACAACATGGATGCATCCCAGATCTAAGCATTGGCACCTCATCGATTATGTCTCAGTGCGACGGAGAGAT